TGGGGATGTTCGCCCGTTATACGGATAACTGCGTGTTGCGTTTCATCTATTTCATCAATTAAGGTTGTATACAAACGTACACGACATGATATAGCATCATTGCGTCGACTACATGCCCAACGATAAGCCTGCGTTGTGCGATCATCATAATGAAACAAATATTTGCCTACTAATAGCATGTCCTTGCCTTTAGCAGAGCGGACCATTTCTACTTCCGAATCATCCATTTTTTTTCTAGGGGTTTTGGAATTTTTCAAAAATATTCTGTAATTTGTGGCCTTTTTTTTTGTAATATTCCTAAAAACCCTTAAAAACACTTTCTAAACACTTTTCTTGCGGTTTTCCTGTTTTGGGAATTAACTTAAAAATTATTTTTCCAAATTTTTTGTCAACTCAACCCTTTTTTTTTAACAGTTCTTTAAAGTTCGTGTATACGGCAACAATTTATTTATCTAAATTGCATAAATTGTGAATAATAATTACCTCTGCAAATCCCAAATATTTTCTCCACGCTCTGCAACCATTTTATTACCCGTCATTCGTTTTCGGATTTCTTAGCCTTATTGCTAAGAAAGAAAAGGATAGTATGAGAGATTTTTTGATAATTCTCTCCAGAGTTGTGCTTTTTGCGTTTATTCCAGTTATATAGACAACTTGCGTGTGATGGAATGAGACAGCTAAAGATGTTTATAATAATAGTTTTTGGTAATTGTTCGCTCAACAAACAGTGTTGCTTTTCCAATTGTAATATGCTTAGGGCAGGGCTTACATTGGCATTGTTGCCATTCAATGAATATAAATACATTAAATAGTAAACTTTTAAAATATATGCGAATAAAGAAAAAAAGGATACATGCAAAAACCTAAAACCTAAAGTAAATTAAGTTTTTGTGTTTTGATAGTACATTTCTTATCAAAGTTATTTCGATAAGACGTAAGTCAAAGGAAAATGCGCTAATTAAGTTTGAGAAATCCCTCCTTAAAACCTTAAAACAAAAGAAGAAATGTGCTAAAGTTCGAAAAATTAACATACCACGTAAACAAATTCTAATGAAACTTGCGTTTTCCTTTCAGATTGGTGCGCTTTATTCCAAAGAATATCGATGACGAAGGTAGCCTACAGGATTTATTGCTGCAAATTGACAATGTTATGTATGGCGAAGATGGCGACGTTAAAATGCACGATTTCGATCCGCCCGACAACAAGAAAGAAAACGACGATTCAAAATTGTTCATGGAATAAGTCACCGTTATATTTTTTTACGAATTTAGAAAGAAATAAAGTAAATTTTATACAAATTTTTTTCCCCTCGCCAATACTTACAGGTCATTTTATACAAAGAACGAAAAAATATGGAAGCCATAGAAAATGTTAATACAAATAGAAAAATTTAGATTAAATTAATTTACCAAAAGAGATAATATAAAACTTTTTCTGTCTCTCAGGATCCTAAAATCACAACCTATTGCAAAAATGTGGAAGATCAGATATAGTTAAGGTTTGCTTTCGGTATCTAAAACCAAATTGTCATCTTTCAGGCGTACACGTCCATTAGAGCAACGCGTCTCTTGACTTCCATCCTTATAGACAGTTTTTACTGTGCCATCGGGGTATTCACGCCTCTTATTATTTTTGGTGTGTCTTCAATACCTATTGGCAAACCTTCTTCGTATTGCCGGCGTTGTTCTTGCTGTTGTTCTGTTAAGCAATAAGCATCCTGAGCCGGTAATTTAGCTTTTTGGGAGCTTGTATCTTCGCGTATTCTGGTATCTGGCGTAGTTTCCGTTTCGGCACCCGATGTCAAACTCATTTTATTATGTTTATCACCATTTCTTGAACTTCGATTACCTGCTTTCGATTTCTTGGGTGCCTGAAAATATCCCATTGCAGATTGCCTTTGCAAGCGATTTACCACAGCCACTGTTACTATGGTTTTTGAAACACTTTTGCGAGGAGTTAATCGTCTTTTAGTTTTCTCCAGAACCCAAGAAAGACATGAAATTTAAAAAAATTCTCCTCTTTCTTTTCCAACCCAATTACTTACCGCTTTAGGCGAAGCTAATCTGGCAATATTACGATTAATTTCCTGCAATAGTTTATTATTTTGTTCTCTGCTTATGCGCAGATTTTCACCTCCCAAACGTTTGTTTTCTTTTCTTAAACGTTCGATTCCTTCGCGCAATTTTTTCTGATCTCTCTCCGTATTACGCATCTGAGAACGCAGTCTAGCCTGCGCAGCCATATGTGTATGTTCTTTGCCTTTAAGCCGTGTTTCTATTTGGATAAGTTGTTCCCTTAGCTTTTCCACTTCTTTTCGCTCTTTCGCTATAAATGCTTGCGTCTTCGAACGATATTGTTGCTCAAGCTTACGTCTTTCCTCTTCCAATTTCATGCGTTCTTCATGCAAACGGATTTCAATTTGGATTTTTTCATCTTTCAATCGGCCCATAGCTTTCAGATGTTCTTGCGCTTGGAGATTTTTCTCCAGCTCATGTTCTTGCTTGATTTTCATTAACTGTACATTATTCTCCTTAAAAGTGTTAATCTCTCGTTCCAATTCGCATAGTCGTAGCTTAATTAAATCGGTTTTTTCCTGCAATTCCTCTATTGCCTTCTGTATAGCCAGGCGTATCAACTCTGAATCTTTCAGTGTAAAGTAGTAGTACTAGGTGTGCTATTCGTATCACTTGGATTATCAGCTTTTAATTGAAGGGCAGCAAATAATGCGTTCTTGAATTGTTGAAGGAACTCATCATGGGAGTCGTCTATGTCACCAATCAAATGGTCATTTACAATGCTATTATTTTTCATTTTATCATACTCACGCGTGTCGTTTGAATCAGTAAAACCTCAGGCGACGGCGTAATATTGGAATAATCATTCGAGTCTAAGCACTTGCCGTTGTTACCTCCATCGTTATCGAGAGAATTGTCCGTTTCATTCTCAGCTTCAGTTGCCGTTTCGCATTCGTCTTCGATTTCATCAACGCTGGAGACTTCAGGTGCTATAGCATCTGGCACTACTAAAGGCTGTAGACGTTTAGTTTTTAAATCTGTCGTTGAAGAGATTTTTTGCTTCTCGTCTGCAAAGCCGTTGCAGTTTTCATAAAGGCAACGTTGCATATAATTCTGTACGGCAGATGAGTTCATATCGGCGCCACTTTGAGCTTTTCGTTGTATCAAATCGAAAATATCAATTTCCGGTTGGGGTGAGGAAGCCTGGACACCACTCCTTCTCACCGTTATTGGTTGCACCTCTTTCGGATCCAAAATTTGACACCAGGCGACAGATGTTCCTTGCGGAGTTGGTCCCTCATTTGGGGGATATTCTCGAAGTTTCGGCACAGCCGCATTGTTGGCATCGGAAAATCGAACTCTACCTGGCGATGAAGATGATCTAGCTCTTTGGGGACTTTCACTATTATTCGTTAATGTAGACTTGGGATCTGGAGTCCAGTTACAAAAATTTTTTGAAGTTAATAATATCTGTTGAAAACGTTGTTCATTAGCTTCTATTAGCGGCGGCTGGACATGTGGAATTGTGCATTCATTTTCCGATTTTTTATGTTTAACGAGATCGTTCTGTGCCACACCAGGCCGTCTTTTGGGTATAGGTTTCGTTGTGAAATCAGGATGAGCATTGGCGTATTTGTATCGTGGTAAATTATTTAATCTGAGTTCGTTAGGGTCTATTTTGAATCTTTGTTTCAAGCCTTCGCCTCTTTTAAGATAAGGTTTTTTAGCTTTAAATGGTTCTTTAAAAGCTTTAGCGTAAGCAGGATTCATATAATTTAGGGAATTTATCTCAGGTAGTTTGTCTTCCGTTTCCAATACATCTTTACATTCCTCAAAATCTTCTTCCGTATACTCTCCAATGAAATCTTCGACGTCTTCATAGTCAGCAGAGTCTGCATCTTCTTTTATCGGCATGTTTTCATTGATTCTTGGCTATTTTGTTGTTTATGTTGTTTCTGCTGAAGTTCCTCTTTTGAATTCCGATTATCTAGCGGGTCTCCGACAGTATTCTCGCCACATAATCCCAACATCTCATACATTGTCTGTTGCTCGATACCCAAAATTTGGCGTTGTCGATTCTGCCGCTCTTCTAATAAACGCTTCTGCTCTTCTTGACATTTATTCAATTCCTCTAAGCGTTTTGTTATATTACATTGCCTTTCATTCTGTGTCGCCATCGTTGGGGTCTTTGCAAAAGTAGCTGCACTCGGCGTTTTATTTTGTAATATATTTCATATTTAAATTTAAATAATTTCTCTTTTTAAAAGTAAAAGTAAAAACAGTTATAAATTCAAAATTTTGCGCTACTCTGAAGTAAAATTACAACAAATTATTTTACATGTCAACAAACGTTGGCAGAATAAACAAAGGGTGCTGAATATAAGTTAGCCTTAAACCTATCCATTTATAAAGTAAAGTAGAAATTTTCGTTGCTTACACATATATCAAACAAATATTTTCTGACAGCATCTTATGATGAAAAAACAACAACAAACAACAAAACAACAAAAACAACAAACTTTTATAAAGACTTAAAGATAATTTAAAATATCTTTCTATTTATATTTACTTTGTTTATAATAAACTTGAAGTATAACTTTTAACATACCTGTTTTAGGTATACAGTTTTTATTTTAATATGACATACGCTAATTCTTCAGCAATGGGAACAAATTTTATATAAAGGTTTTATTAAAATTGGGGTTTAATAAAAATTGTAACCACAAGTCATTGATATCAAGAGATAGCCTT